TAATTGATCCAGTGACACAATCTTGCCTTCATATGAGTAATAATATTTCCTTTATCATTTTTAAGGATATTCTTTCTTGTGCTATTTCTTGAACCTGGCATTTCTTTGATTTTTTGTGTAAATGAAAGCTATTATACTTTCTATGCAGATCTTCTATTTCCTTGCACCTATCAAGAGAGCTACCTCTCTTTTGCCTCTCGAATTTTCTTTCTGATGTTTTTTTAATTTCTTTGTATTTATTCAAGTCTTTTGATTTATGTTTTCTTCGTTCTTCCATAAGTTCAAAAATTTCTACTGTCATTTAAGTTTGTTTTTTGTCCCCAGCTGGTTTAAGGGTTTCTTTTCCGACTAACACAAGGGCATGTTATGTAAGGGCGCGTTACCGAATTAGTAATGTCAAAACCATTGTTCACAACATAAGATACAAACATTGATTATAATGACCTTAGTTTACCCAAGTGTGAGTTCAGGTAGGATACTTCATATTTAGACCACAACATCATTATCACCGCCGTTCATTCCCGTAGGATTATGGCAGATGCAGTACAGCTTCTTTTTTATTCATATTTTGAATCATTTCTTATCCTATTCTTTTTACGTACTTTTTTTATATGTTTAGATTTGTCACAGCTGCAGTAGTTATTTTATTCTATCTCTGTTTTTTGTTTTCCAAACCGATAATTCCATTAATTTTATATCTTCGCCGACATCGTCCCTACTTATCTTTCTCGGCCTTCCTCTGCTTGTTTATCCCATCCAGTTTTTCATTATTTTAATTATTTCTGTTGGTGATCTTCTCCTTGTAATGCACTATCGATCCTAATCCTATTATTGTGTGTTCTAAAAGTAATATTTTCCTCATTATATGCTTCTTCTATTTCTGTTTATTTTTGTTCTTCTTTTATCTTCTCATTGCATATGTGTTTTTGTACGTATTATAGATTTAAGTTTTTGCGTTCTTAATAAGTTAGACTTGCGAGCTTAAGAGTCAAAAACAGGAAAAAAATAACTGATCTCATTGAATCAGAAGAAATTGAGGCTGGAAACAACCCTCAATTACTATTGAGTCTTGATTTCGGCAAGACTTTGTTACGTTTTAAAAGATTACCTAACGCTTTAAATTATGTTAAAGGTATATACAGCTATATAAATAGTTGCATAGCTATTAGGCCTATATTACTATATACTAATTTGTTTAAGGTGTCAGTAAGTACAGTAAATAATGAAACATACTTAGTTCCGTTTATTGATAGGTCAGAGTCGTCAGAATTACTGATTGCCATTTTGTCTTGTCTTCTGTCGAGTTGTTCAGATCACTGCAGTCGGCCATATATGTTAAAAGCTTGTGTTAAGATTATTTCTTCTTTAATCTTTATCATCTGTGCACATTATTGGAAAGTAAGGAAGTAATGTGCCATACCAAATTATTTGGGTTGTTCACTGGAAGATTAAGTGATTGCGATATGCAATGAACAGATATAATAAGCGAACACACACACACACACATACACGCAGCAGGCTATAGTTTACCAATACTAAAAGAAGAAGTCAACAACAAGAACATACTGACAATAGTGGATTAAATAACATGAGACACATCGTCTACAATCGTACACAATACATATGCAACACACAATACACAAACACAATACACGAACACTCACATACATACAAACGCATAAAGCACATACAAAATGCAGAAATACGCTACTTCTTCTTTAAGTACCGTCTCCCAATCGGAGGTTGGATATCATCATCACTATCTTTACTTTATCTACTGCTGCTCTGAAGAGTTCTATAGAACTGCATTTAAACCAGTCCAAGTAAATTCTTCAACCATAACACTCTCCTTCTTCCTATACTCCTTCCTCCTTTTATCTTTCCCTGTATTATCAGCCTTAGCAGTTCATATCGCTGTCCCCTCATTATGTGTCCCAGATATTGTAGCTTTCTTATTTTTATTGTGTTTATTATTTCGCATTCTTTACCCATTTCTCGCAATACTTTGGTGTTAGTTTTCTTCTGTGTCCATGCTATTCTAAACATCCTTCTGTAACAACACATTTCAAAGGACTATAACTTATTTGTGTGTTCTTGCTTCAATGTCCAGCTTTCAAGTCCATATTGCAGTATCGAAAACACGTAGCATCTCAGTGCTCTTACTCTCAGTTCTAATCTAAGATCTTTGTCTGAAATTCAGGTTCCTAGGTATTTGTATTTATCAACCCTTTCTATGGGTACATTTCCCAAATGTATGTTTGTTAGTATATTTGTTTTCTTTGTTATTATCATGTATTTGGTCTTTTTCATATTCAATAAAGTTTTTGTTAATATTATTTTCATTTATAATTCTTCATATTTACTCCTCTTTATATGCATTGTGGGACACCAATGGAAAAATATATGCTCTCGCGCGGCAATATGTTGAACCGATTTTTATTCGCCCATAAATAGGCAGTAAAATTACCATTTCTATATCAGGAATAGAATAGTCATATGTGAACACTATGTCACTGTGAAGAAATTATGATCTAACTTATTTGGACAGAAAGCCACGTCAATCAAGAGTAATATCACATTAATTTTCCATTAGAAAAGTAAAAATTCTGTATTGTATCACTAACTGTTTAGAATATTTATGTGTCTATTGACTGTCATAATTTCATAAAGTCTTGTATATTGGGTCTTCTATATTTCATCATTTCAATTATATACGACGTTGCAAAGGAATCTCTAGGTTTGTACGGAAAAAATCAAACAAACCCCCTATTGGTAGTACGAGGAAATTGAGAAGGCTATAGAAGGAAAAAGATCAAAGTTCTCAAAATATTTAAATACTAAAACAAGAGAGGATCAAATTAAATATAAAGAATCTCAAGCAAATGTTAGAAAAATGATAATTAGAAAGAAAAACGAATTATGGGAAAGCAGGTTCTGAAAGTGCTTTCCTAAGGCATGTCTAAGTTAAATGTGTTATTTATATGGGATTAAGCCACAATTTATTGTAATGGCAATTGAAATTTTTACTAAATAAAGTTTGACGTTTCGATTTTCACGCCAGAAATCATTTTCAAAAAAGATTATTTTAAAAGTTCTGGAAAATGTATAACCAACAAGTTGTTTTTTGTAGGTTATGTTTTTCAAAATTGATAGTTGACTTTTTGGTCTCATTCTTTTTGGATATTGTACACAACACCAAGATTATGGTTGAAAAATCTGGAGGTGGTGTTTTTTACCTTCGGAACATCAAAGTCTGACTGTTTTGGGGTTTTTTTGTATAATATGTTTATATAATGTGTGTTAACGTAGATTGAATGTTAGTATATTGTGTGTGAATTGTAGATGATGAGGTCTTCGACTTCCGATTACTCCGCTATTGTTGGTATATTCTTGTTATTGACTTCTTCTTTTAGGATTTTTCAACCAAAGCCTGCTACATTCTGCTGATGCTACAAAATGCTACACATTTTTTTTATTGAGTAGGATGAGGGCTGTTTGATTAAATCATCTTTACACTGTACTCTGTACGCGTTATCCCAGTCATGTTTGCAGATCTGGGATTTGTCGAAGTCTCTAGTTTTGATATATATTTCATGCTCGTTTATTCTGACACATAGTGGTCTTGCGGTTTCTCCTGCACGAAGTCATGAGAAAAATCAACAAAAGAATGGAAGTATTGGAAACCATCAAGACACGAAAGCTGCAATACCTGGGGCATGTTATGCATAATGAGAGATACAACCTACTTCAATTGATTATACAAGGGAAAATCCAGGGCAAGAGAAGTGTAGGAAGAAGAAGAATCTCATGGTTGCGTAACTTGAGGGAATGGTACGGATGCACATCAATTGAACTATTCAGAGCAGCAGCATCTAAGATCAGAATAGCCATGATGATTGCCAACCTCCGTCGCGGAGATGGCACGTGAAGAAGAAGAAGAAGGTTTCTCCCACGTAGAAATTGTGTATATAGATGCAATTCAGGGTATTATATAGATGCAATTTTTTTATCTTTCTTGGTGTTGTTTGTTTTGGTTTTGGACAGGAAAGATGTGTTGGTTGTTTTGAATGTTTTTGTGATGTTGTACTTGTTTCCTATCGTTTCAACTTTTCTGATAAGCCCTCTACATATATTATTGTTGTCACCGTTGGATCTATTCTTGCCATTGTTTCTGGATTGCTTGTTGTATTTTTTGTGTCCTTTCTGCAATCTTGTGAAATTCTTTGTTTATAAATGACAATGGAAAGTCATTTTTTTGTCAAAACCTTTGTTAGCAGGTTTTTTCTCCTTGAAATGCATTTTCATTAGAGCAGATGCTTCGTGCTAACGCAATACAAGCTTTGTTTGACTTAGAGCAAAGAATGCATCTGCCAAAATTAACCACTACTGACTGTACCAATCATAAGAGATACATGTATTTATGGACCAAAGATCAAGCTAAGCGCGAAGCAGATGGGGTTACTTCTGTTGTGATGAAATTTTTAGAGAACAAGTCAGGTTATGAAAGAGCAGTACAAGTCAGAACAAAAACTAGCATTTAAGGTCTTTTTAGTTGCAGTTAGTCAAGGCTAAGAAATTTAAACAAATAACATATCATTTCTTAGTTAGTCGTCATTATTTTATGCCATCAAATTGAGAAGCGCCAGAGAAACCAGCGCACAAGTTATTTGTTCGCCAGAAGGTTGGGCAGATATTACGAAAGCAAATAAAAATAACCATTTTATTGTAACCAAGATGACACAAAATCATTTTTACAGCTTTGAACCTCTTCTCAATAATATTAAATAAACAATGCACGTCTTCCTTGCACGTCCGTCTAAGCAGAGCTTAGATTTTGCAGGAAGATACAGCTTTTGATTTTGATTTTGACAAAAAGTAAGTTCATTTTTTGTGAAATATAGTCTCAATGGAGATTATCAAGAAGTTAATGTCTTAAGAAAAGACAGACCTGCAACAAGAGAGTTGTTACAGGTCTGCCAAAACAAGATAAGACAAGTCTGTTACAAAGTCTCTGAAAATAAAGTAAAATATATAAGTTTTTGATAATGTTAACAAAAAAATGTGAAAATTGTAAATATACAATTTTAATATATTTTAATATATTTTTAAGGCAGTGTAATTGGGATGGAACAAAAAGATCCAGCTAGAAAAACATTCCTTGAAAATGAAAAATGTTTAACTGTTTAACTGTTTCACTGTTCAACTTCTTAATTAACTAACTAGATACTGTCTTGAACTGTCTCATCCCAACTCTCATACTGTTATACTAACTCTCTGATTTCTGCACTGTCTTACTGTCTAATTTAATACTGTGTTACTCCCTCCTTGCTCCAAATTATATCGTATTTATATCTTTTCATCGTTCCCGAATATTCTAGCAACAAATCATGTTCGAAACTGCTCCATCTCATCAATATCCGAACGTTCTCGAATATTCTACTATGCAAATAGGGTTAACTGCCTTCTATTGACGTGTTATTTAAATGCTCTAGAAAATTCTTAATTTTTCTATGGATAATTTAATGGACATTTAGGCTTTCAGATCAGAATATACACTTATATATAAACTAAACATCTTAAATTAATACATAACACTATTTTACATCCGTAATTATTATTCAAATGTCACTTTCTGTTGAAATTCATTCTTCTGTCATTATAATACAGTGTATATTTGGTTGCCTATGCACATGGCTCACTTAAATATATCTATAATATTATAATTATTAAAATAAAACTTTTTACACTTATTATTATTCTAAATTCTTAAAAATACCCTCATATAAATATTTTTTATAATATTCTCTAGTCTATAACATAAATTATTTCTTTAGTCACTATTTAAGTTTATTAATTAAAAATCATAATATTATTATGCTAATTTCTTTTATATCTATTATTATCTCAATATATATATATATATATATATATATATATATATATATATATATATATATATATATATATTGCGTAAATGTGTTATTCCTTTCATATCGCATAAGTATTTCAAATGCTGCGTGTATTGCATAAATATTTAATATTTTTAATAATTATACCAGCACAGATGGCAAATTAATAATTTTAATAAGTATGTGTTACATTAATCTAAATGCCGCAAGCAATAGAACAGTCTATATATTGTATTCCGGTTCGAGCTAGGTGGTTGAAATAAGATATCATTTTATTAGACAAATTGACCATTGAATTGAAAATAAAAAGTAGGAATTATTTCTCGATTTTTCACTCTTTTTCCTTTACGCAATTTAAAACCGCATGTATCAAATTATCGACATATACGCGACATATTTCTCAATGCAGTCGACCAGATTGTGGGTAGACACTGCCTCCATAACATCTATTACCAAACAAGGTCTCGGCTAGAATGTGAAATTGCTACCTACGATGACCTTTCTTTTAATAAATTCGTATAATTCGTTTATAATCGTCGAACACACCTTGTGATCGGCGCCTTCTATTTAATAATATTATAATTTTTTATTCACATCAATGACTGAGATGAAACTGTTATAAAAAATGTTTGCATTTATTTAAATTTCAATTCTGCATTCATGTCAACAACAAATGAACATGACACGTGTTACGCGCCAGACGACACTACAGGTTCTTAATGACATTCAGTTGTTTTCTATATTTTGCACCGTTCTGATATATGGCAATCCAAAATAATTGTTAGACAATACAAGAAAAATTACAAGAACAAACAAGCCGAAAATAATAATCGCAGAATTAGAACAAGCGATTATAAATGCAGCGAATGGAAGAGCAGAAGAATGAAATAGATACCCACTAAGCTAATTAAGTGCATTGATGATGAAAGTTTGCATTTACTGTTAGATTTATTCAACAGAATTTACATAATAGGAGTAATCCACCAAGAATGGTTACTATCAACTTGTGCAACACTACTAAAGAGAGGACATACGAAACATTGTTCCCAGTATAGAACATCGTTGATAATCCAAACGCTTAAGATATTTCCGAAAATAATACAAGGACGACTATACAAAAAAAAATTGTGGAATGTACATATAATACTCAGCTTAGATTGAGAAAGGGACTGGGAACGAGAAAACCACGTTTTGCTTTTAATGTACTCACAGAAAGATGTTTAGAAATGAATCAGGATCTCTGTATCTGCTTCATTGATTTTCAGAAGGCATTCGAACAATCTGAAAGCAATAAGCAATCTGAAACTTGTACAACTAGAAACAGATCAGTCTTGAGTAACATAAAACCGCGTTGATATGGGTAGTGAATCACAAGTAAGCCACACTCGTGGTACACGAATCTTAATAACTTCACTACCGTGGTCACGAAAAGAGTTTACAGGCCCAATATTTGCTTCGTGGTAAATATGCAGTGCTTAGTGACAGAAGCATGTCAAGCTATGTCTGGAGTAGGAGATAGGATTTCATAAAATTTGGCAAGAAAAAGGAAGTAAAGATAATGTACTGCAAGTCATCCAAATTTAATTAAAGACATTTCCCAGTACCCTGACGATTTTCAAAATTTGCTTAGAATGCCGGAACACCATTTTGAATTTTTATTGGACCTTGTTGCTTCAAAATTAAAAAAAATCTACTAATATGAGAGAAGCTCTATCGGCCAAACTTAAATTGCAAGTAACACTTCGATATTTAGTTACTCTTTTAAAAGTTTAGAATATTTATTTAGAGTCCCCAAATCATTCATAACTAAATTTATACAAGACTTGGATGCAGTTTGTGATGCTCTAAAAGAATTTATCCAGGTAAATAACATTATTTACTAAAACGCGGTATTGCGGTAATACATACATCTACATTCTCAGTTTAATCTTCATCAACCACTGCATTGCTTTTCGATGTATGTCCTTCACTCTTGTTCGTATTCTGGCTGTCTTTCTTTTGCTTACTTGACTAATAGCTATACCATGTTTTTGTTTAAGTGAGCGTACAAATTGGAGGTATTTCCTGATATTTTTAAACTTTGAAGCAAAAGTTGCAGCAATATTGCTCTTTAATTGCATTAATCATGTCAACGCGGCTTAAGATTCGCAGATGACACCGTTATTTTAGACACAGTCTAGAATCACTAGAGCACTTAGGAAATAGAGCAAATCAATGCAGTATCTAACACATACTGGAAATGAATGTGAAGAAAATCAAGTTCGTGATCATTACCAAGCGACATTATACTGGAGAGTCTATCCATCGAAGAAAAACAAGTAGAAAGGGTTAATAATAATAAATATCTAGGATAAATGAGAATAATAACAAAAGTATAGAAGTAAGGACACGAATTGAAATGGTAAAATTTATAAAAATAATAAAGATATTCACTAATCGTGACCTTGCTATGAAACTCCGGATAAGAGCCCTAGAGTGATATGTATTCTCTACTTTGTTGTTTAAGTTCTTCTTCTTCTTACGGTGCCTATCCGTTCCGGATGTTGGCGATCAACATGGCTATCCTAACTTTGCTTGCTGCTATTCTGAATAGTCCGGTTGTCGATGTATTAAACCACTTTCTCAGTTGTTTAAGTTGAATACAAAAAAAAACATGTAAGGAAGTGAGAAGGGCTTTCGAATTGAAAGAGATCTATATATGTACAGACAGGCAAGCAGGCATGGGGGCTCTCATAATCTCTTACGCTCCAAGGTGAACTCTAGGCTGGTGTGCGAATGGCGAAAGGAATTCTACAGACTAAAGAAACATAACAGTTTTACACTGGTGCGAGTTCTAGGTCTTCTTCTTTTTGTACTACCTTTTCGTTTGGATGTTGGCAACTATCATGGCAATCTGTATTTTGCAATGCTGCTAATTGCTGCTCTGAAAAGATTTGTGGTGGTTGTTTTAAACCACGTACGTATATTTTTCAGCCAGGAAATCCTTCGCCTTCCTGGTCCTCCTTTTCCTTCTACTTTTCCTTGTAGAATTAATTGCAGCAACCCATATCTTTTGCTGTTCCTCATGATGTGACCGAGGTATTTGATTTGGCTGTTTTTATTATGGTTAATAACTTTTTTCCTTTTTGCATTCTTAATAAAACATCCTGGTTAGTAACGTGTTCGGTAAAGGATATCTTCAGGATTCGAAGATAGAGCCACATTTAGAAGATCCAGGTCACCGTAGAATATACGGGAATCAAAGAGATTATACTCTAGAGAGAAAAAGCCTGGATCCGAAGTTAACACAACTCACCTGGGAAAATATACCCGGTCAAACACGTGGCAAAATGTATATTTTACAGACATGTGCTAATAGGGAGGAGTGCAGCTGTGGAAAACAAGCAGGAATTAGCTCAAAGTCATAACAGGCTTCATTACTGGACATGCGTCAGTCAAGAGACAGCTGTTTCTGTTTTCCATGGAGACCTAACCTGCAGAATTTGTAGCAGAGAACCTGAAACAATCAGCTATATCTTGCATGACTGCGCTGATACAATGTGCCCGATGCAATGGATACCATGAAGAAATGGAAGATGTAGAATAAACCAACTGACCAACTAGCTACGGCACGATCGGTTTACAACAGATGGTTTCTACGAACAAAAAATTTGAACTATTTCAAATGTGGTACTATATGCGGATAAAGAAAATACCGTGGATTATTGGAATATTATCGGAAAATTTAGAATATTTAGGTCATATTACCAGAGGCCAAAAGTATGAAATAATAAATCTTAATATGTAAGGAAAGATTAAGGGCAAAAGTAGCATCGGCCGAAGAAAAATTTCCTGGATGAGAAGTCTTTGAGAGTGGTATAGTTGCAACTTAATAGACCTTTCTGAAACGGCTGCAAATAATATAAAAACAGTTATGATTTAAATACATGAATTGTAAATTAAAATCTTCTACAATATTTTTCCTTTCTTTTTCAGTATATATTTTAAGAATGATGAAACAAGGCAATCAGTAAATAAAAAAGACGTAATAATGAATTTAACGGTTTCTGTTTATGATTTTGAGGACATTCTGAAGATATGTTGACTATTGACAAAGATATGT